GATAAAAATTTGACAAAAGTCATGTAAGGTCAACATCCTGTTTCTAAGAATGATCAGCATGATATCTTCATGAGTGTTTATTTGAAAATTTATCATCTGCTCTTTCATATAAAGTATAACAAGGTGGCTTACAGCATATAAAGTAACATAAAACAAGTCTATAGGGCATAATCTAAAACATCAATAAAACACCAGTAGATTGTTTTCTTCTTAAGAAAAGTCAACATTGAGAAGGCTTGTCTAAACAGGGCAGTCCCCCCCCCATATTTTTTAATTTATTTTCATACAATTTAACAATTTCAATTCTGTTTCAATACAAGATCCCATTATCATTTAGATTTCCCATCCTTATTTCCACGATGTTTCTGTTCGAACCCTTAAATGTAATGGGTTTGGCCTCTTCGCCATATAGCCTCATAAGAGCAACTGAGCCCACTTTATCTGTATACAGTTACCCTGCTTCCTTTCTCTACATCATATTACAGACAACACCAAGCACCTGGCTATATATCTATTTTATGTAAAATAAACATAGTTGTTTGTTATCCTTACTCATGCTTATTCCTACTGTGTTTATTTTCTCGCTGCTGGAAGTTCTTGCCATGATTCACATGGCCTGCTGACAATCCAGGCTGATATTGATGCACTTGTCACCATTTTGTTACATATCTGGGCAGGGTTTGTCTCTGGTGTCTGCTAAGGCATAACTAAGCCTGAGGAAAGCTGAGGAAGCATGAAAGTTTCCTCACATCAACGTGCACCAATAGTTATTTAGATTTGCACAAAATTGTATTTCATGCCCACATGATGCAGGATTTAATTCGCAAAGGGACAATCTTAGGGAAGAGAGTTAATGGTTCCACAGAATAGCGTACCTAGTCATTATAACCTTATATATCAGCTCAGCTAGACTACTGAAGGATATATAGAAGGTATATTCTAGTGTTGTTTAATTTTCACTCTGTGTAAAATTATATGGTGAACACAGTACATGAGACATTGGGTAAAATGCGTGATCACAAAATGACTCTGAATTGCTACATTCAAAAGCTTTTGAAATATAAATGTGGAAGCAGGTTTATTGATAGTTAATAGGTGTTAAAAAAGAGAGAGCTGAATCCAATGGAACTTCCATAATTTTGCTTCACCTTGTCTTAATAGATATGCATTCTAAATAGAAGTCATTAGAAATCATTACGAGTATTCAATTTTAAATTCTGACATTCTATTTAATGCGTTTGGAATTAACATCAGTAATTAAAATCCCAGATATAGAAAGGTCAAGCTCTTGTCAGGTTATTTGGTTACTTATGAGTGGTGTTTGAGAAACACATCAAAGATAATTACGAAATACAAGATGCCTTTCTTGAGCGGCACCTATAAGGACACCTATTTAATTATCAAAAATTGGAAACTGCTACAAAGCATTTCAATAGTTTATTGGAAGGACAGCTCAGTCAGAAACACAGTCACAATTATCCACAGGTGCATGTGGCATGGAGATGTTCTTGGGGGGATTTTTCTTTATAGCAAATAGCTGCCCCCCCCCCAAAAAAAGAAAAGAAAATAAAATGCTGAAATCCAAACTTATAAGAATTTAGTGTTGTTGGATCTCAGCCATTGACAATGCCCCATTGATCTGTACAATGCACACAAATAGCTCTCATTATTGGCTCTGGAAAACACTGGCAGCTATGAAAAATATTTGTGAGCACTAAGTGTTCAGTCACCCATAAAAGGGAAAGTCTATATTTGTCTGTGGTATTTATTAACTCACTGGATCACGATGATTGCCTGAAATTTCAAGAACATATGCAAAGTGCAAGTGGGTTTGATCTTCTTTCCTACAGAGAGAAAGTGCACAGGGAGCATTATCATAGATTAAAAAGATTAAAATTAGCTTCAGTTTTGAAACAGGCTTACTGGAGACGAAATCCCACTGAACTCACTGGGACTTGTAAGCAAATATATTTGAGATACCACTGCATAAGACTTAAGTTTAACATGGATCCAAAAACAATTACAGAATGGTTTACATCAAATAAAAAAAGTCCCAATTTAATGATAACACAACAATATTGCATGGCATATTTATTTTTGTTTGGAAAAGTGTCCTTACCTTTACAAGATGCTATACAGAAGTAATGGCTATTGATGTATTTGAGAGCCCATCCATGTAGCATTTGATGGACTTCTGTGCTATGCTCATTCCTAATGGCTGAAAGCCTGTAGCTTATGTGTTTCTACAGATCTAACGGACTTGACAGTCCATGCAGTTGTTCCAGAGGAACTATGAAGCCAATAAGCGGAAACAATAGGTGTGAGAAACAACTATAGACAAGACGATACTTCTGTTGGCGATCCATCTTTCAAGCTTGACATAGCACTTCCTCAGGCAGAAAAGAAGAGCTCCATGGAGCTTGTCTAACAACTCCATTACTTGTTGTAGATTATGGGGATTGATTTAACTTCTCCTCGACTCCATACATTTTCTTCTTTCTGTGGAAAACCCAATCACTTCCATTCCTTTTCACTGTAGGACTTCTGGGCCTACCACATTTCTTAATGAGCTATTGCTCAAGCAGTCCAAAAACATATCACGCCAAAAGACGCCGTCATTCTTATCAAATATTTGGGAATCAAATATTTTACTGTAGACTGTATAATGAAAAAACAGGGATATGAGTGATACAGTAATTGTTTTCTAGCACATCCCTGTGAGATTTCTATGAGATTTCTGTTCCACTATGGAGAATTCATCAGTCCTGAAGGATGTGAAACTAGCTTTATGCCCTGCTGTTGAGGGGGGAAAGAAAGGATGTAGCATTCATCCGCAGTACTTACCTTTTATTCTCCAGTTTGAGATTGCTTCCTTTTTCCCTTCAGTGCTTTACAATAGGGAATGGTGAATCTAGCTAGTTGGATTGAGTGGGGAAAACATGAATGATAAACAAATTCCAAAGCATTGGTTATATTAGGGTTAAACGAAATGAGATGGCTATTGCACAGTTCCTACCCATGTGTGGCTTGTTGTTGTTGTTGTTAAAGATAAAAGAGGTTCAAACAGCGGCGTAGCGTGGGTTGTCAGCACCCGGGGCAAGGCAAGTAATTTGCGCCCCCTAACCTGGGGCAAGGCAAGTAATTTGCGCCCCCTAACCCGGGGCAAGGCAAGTAATTTGCACCCCCTAACCCCTAACCTGCCGCCGCTGCCAGCTTCTTCTTGCTGCTGCCTGGGCTGGTCTGGTGTGGTTCTCTCCCGCGCTCAGCGCTGCGCTGGGCGGCCGCTGCACTGTCCCTCCCCCAGATAGTCCCTTGCTCTCTCTCCGCACCGCACGCCTGGCACCCACCCCCTCCACAGTGGGCGGCGACCCAGCGGCTCGGATCGGATTCGCACAGCCAGCACTGCAGTGAGAGAGAGTGAGTGAGCCAGGTAGGGGCAGAGAGCTGCGAGTGCGAGCACGCCCCCCCAGATGTTGCGCCCGGTGCGGCCGGCCCCCCCTGCACCCCCCACGCTACGCCACTGGGTTCAAATACAGACTGGGGTATGAGGGGAGAGGAGCTTTAACTTTTGCCCTTGCTATGGTGCCAGTCAGAACCAGTCACACACACCAACACCTACGATTTGCAATGATGGGGAAAAAGACTTGCCATACCAGGAACTGTCTGAGTCAGCTCTTAGGCACTGTGCGTTTCGTTTCAGTTCTGTGCTGCAAGCATAGTTTTCTTAGTGCTTCCTTTGTGCGGCCTCTTCCTCATGATAATTGTCTGGGTGGGTCTGAGGGACAGCAGTCCCCCCATTTTTCCTTTTTCACAAAAGCAGCCCTGCAAGACCACACTACAGATCCTCCAAGAGTCCCTATTTTCCAGGAACATCCCTCATTTAGAGAAGCTGTCCCAGTTTCTGATTTGATCCGGAATGTCCCACCTTTCTTTAATATGTCCCTATTTTCACTGGAGAAATGTTGGAGTGTATGGAGTTATCCAACCCCCGAATGATCTGAAGGCAATCCTGTATAGAGAAGTTTTTAAAAATATAATAATATTTTTATTATTATGTTTCTATATATGTTGGAAGCTGCCCAGAGTGGCCGAGGCAACCCAGTAAGGTGTGTGGGGTCTAAATAGTAAAATTATCATTATGGAATGGGACATCCCTATTTTCATCGCAGAAATGTTGGAGGGTATGAGACTATGTGATAAATGTCATACGTAGTTTGGCCCTTAGCATGGTGCAAGATAAATAACAAAATAATTTTGTGGTATCTTTTAAGCCTAACAAATCAATTGTTCCAGAAGCTTTTTCATGGCCCACTTCAGTGCATCTGACAAATGGGTGTCTGGCCAATACCGCAGAAATTATGCCACAGTCAATTTGTTATTCTTTCAGGTGCTACATGACTCATCATGACTGAATCACAGCGTCTTAGGTGTTTTGTCTAATAAAGCTAGAATTCAGGTTAACAACAACAACAACTTGTAAGCATAAAAGCGATGCAAACCCTTTATTTCTGTTTAATCAAAGGGTTATAATTAATTTCCAGGTTTTGCCTAAGTAGCAGGTCATGAAGAGTTTAGTTATAATTTTCCTGATTGTATCCATCTGAGGTGATTTCATCTCTATTTTCTAGAACCTGAATCAACTCTGGTTTATTTAATCAAATTGTAATTGGTGGGTACTATTAGTGGGAACCATTGGCAGTATGTTTCTGAGAGAAAGGAAAGAAATTAACACAACCGTGAGGCTGGCAGGTAATAAGTAGAGGGGAAATTTCTGCTATATGTAGTCAGCCAGTGAGATGCTTGGTAAACCTTAAACAGGGCATGGATAGTGGAGTGAAAGAATGGAAACTGACCATATAATCTTTTGCTGCAGCAACCACTATACATTTGTTTCTCATGTTCACCTCATAGAGACTTAGGAAGCTGCCTTATACAGAGTCATCTACCTCAGTATTGTCTGCAATGACAGGGTTTCACACACAGAGTCTGCCAGCCCTACCTGGAAATGCCAGGGAATGAACCTGGGGCCTTCTACACACAAGGCAGATGTTTTACCACTGTGGTTCAGCCCTTCCCCTACAGCTGCTGACTGACAATATTTTTCAAATAAATCAGAATTGCAACAACATCAAATAAACAGCAGATAAACTATTCCAGAAATAAACAGACAAACAAACAAAATCAAGGTGACAACAGCCAGACCATAGACATGTTAAAATGAAAAGGACATTAGCCAATACCATGGGGTCAGCCGGATACACTTGTCCCAAGCCTCGGAGGGCTAAACTGGCTGGGCACTATGCCCTGGATCTTAGGCAAGTCAATCGAAAAATCATGTTTTTTTGGTGTGTGTTTTTTTGCTCAGCAATCTTGGGGTCTTCCTCAAAAAAAAAACACAACACAAAGTCCTGGCCCCTGTGCTTGCGTGTATTTGCTACCCACTGAGCACAGCCAATTGGGTTGCCAAACTTGCCTTATTTGAAAGCCTTATCCACTCCATTACAACCTCATGGCCCTACACAGCACAAAAGGACACCCTTTATTTCTCACATCATAGATCCAATTAAGTGTGATGTAGCGAACAGTGTTGAGCTTCGATGTGGGGAAACCAAGCTCAAATCCCAGTCAACCTGTGAAGCTCCCTCAATGGACCCGGGCAAGTCACAGCTTCCCAGGCTAATCTAATTTAAAGGGTTATTGTGAGAATAAAATGCAGCTGTGAGCTCCTGAGAGGAAAGGCAACAGACACGTTTCTTCTTTTAACGAAACTGCCTAGAATAGACAACCTCAGTATACACCCTTTGGAAGTTTTTTGGTTGGTTGGTTGGTTGGTTGGTTGGTCCCCCCCCTTTTTTTTTATATGGTAACATAAGCAAAAACTAATCTGTGTCTTTACCTTTGAAATTCAGATTTCAGAATGAAAGAGAGAAATGGCTCTGATCTGGTTTCTGAGTGGCAAGTAAGGACATCCTCCATGGCAGCCTACAAGAGACTTGCTATTGTCAGTCAGTGGCTGGATTCAGATTATCATATTTCAGTTTATTAAGCCAAAGTATGCATAAGCCTTCCATGAAGCTTATTTTCTCCTCTCATCACTGTGAACCACTATTGAAGCAGGAAGTCTCTGAATAAGTATAATATCCTGTTTCATCAAAAGCTGGAAACTAGGGTTATCAACTTTAGGACAAGCCAGGACATTAAACCCGATATGAAGTTGACTTGTTCCAAAGCTGGTGACAATAGGAAGCACAAGACAACCTGTCAGTTTCTCTTAGTTTCCCAATTTTCCAGTCTTACATTCAGTTTTCCATATTTACACATCAGTTTGTGATTTTTTAAAAAAAGTCCTTATCAGCATTTTAACAAGCTTGGAGCAGACAAGCCATAGAGCTTCCAGCAATGGCCTTAGGATGGGCACCTCAGTAGATTTGCATCTCGGGGAGGCCACAATCCCTGGCATGACTCTGTCAAAGTAAGAGGTTGAAATGGATATACACCCAGTGCCTCAGCCAAATTCCACCTACATCTGTTGTCAATAAAGTTCTAGCCAATTTTTATCACTGATCATTGTCTAGTTTCTTCATTCACACCTTAGCTATTCACAGCTGAGCTGCCCTGGGACAGGGGGCACTGCAACTGGGCCCGCAATGCATTTCTGTTTGGCATTATCTCAAATAAGTGCATTTTTAGGGACACTGTACCCTGGTATTTAATTTTTTTCTATGCGTTACCTCTCTGGAGAACTGCAATTGAGAATTCTGTCAAGCGTGAATTTGGGTATATGGCTATGTTTTGGTTCTCCAATTTTTAAAGAAAGTGCTAATTAGGTAGGTTTTTGACACTCTTTTGTTGACTATGAGGGCCACTCCATTTCTTTTACGGGATTCTTGCCCACAGTAGTAGATGTGATGGTCATCCGAACTGAATTCGCCCAGGTTTGCTGGTTTGCTTTTAAATGCAAACTAAATTAAATTTGCCCCACCATCCCTAAACCACAGTTCCTTGGTTTGGATGAAGTGGGAAACTATGGTTTATTGAGTGTATCCTGGTTTAATCACAGTCCATACAAAGGGAAGAGCTTCTCTATGAGCAAAAGACTTCAGTACAGTGGTACCTCGGGTGACATACGCTTTAGGTTACAGACTCCACTAACCCAGAAATAGTGCTTCAGGTTAAGAACTTTGCTTCAGGATGAGAACAGAAATCGTGCTCCGGCAGCACGGCGGCAGCAGGAGGCCCCATTAGCTAAAGTGGTGCTTCAGGTTAAGAACAGTTTCAGCTTAAGAACGGACCTCCAGAATGAATTAAGTACTTAACCCAAGGTACCACTGTATATCCAAACCAGCTTAGTGCAGTAAGCATGAAAACATCCAAATAACCTGGGGGTGGGGGTGGGGAAATAGACCCTACATGCAAGTTTATTTTTTATGTTTTGTGGGATAAATGTTTAAAAAGAAATTGGAGAGAGACGGGCTTTTATTTTTCCTTTAAAAAAAGAAGATATTGATGTAAAAGTATTATAGAAAACAAAAGGCTTGTCTGCCACAGGGCTGGATATTCAGCCTGAACCTCAGAATAAATGAAGCACTAGCGATATTATTTAAGTGAGTAGTTCCAAATGCTGCTGACGCCTCCATAATTATCAAGTATTGCAAGGGTTATCATCACACACCAACCTTGTGAATCCATTATCATCTCACACTTTAAATGCTGCTGATTTGTCCATTAATAAAGCAGCAACTCAGGCCTGCGAAGAATACGAGAAAATAATAGCATTTAAATCATTGTTCTTTTTTCAGTTTATCACACTCTGCCAAGATATATCATGTGAAGGAGGCTTTGCACCTGATGATTTGCTCTTATGCCTCACGTATTATATGAGTGTTCATGATTCTATCAATTGAATCATATCTGGACAAATTATCTGGTTAATAGTTACTTTTAAATTTACTCTTTATCTTACCTTTTGGGATTTGGGACTGATTTGGGGGGAGAGGGAAGATTGCTCAGGCATTTGTAACTTATCCAAGAGCAAATCAGAATAAAAAAGGAAAATATAACACAGACCTGTTATGTTTGACTACCTTCTCTATGTCAAACTGCCTAAGGCTACAACACTGGGTGTTTTTTTTCAAAAGGAAAATAATGAATAGTAAATAATGAATTTTAATTTCTATGAGAGGGCTATTAATAAAAAGAACAAATCAATGGGGGGGACCTATACATAGTAACTAACAAAAAGGGAATGGGCAAAATAATAATAGTGATGTACTATTTATATGCTGCCCATCTGACTGAGATACCCCAGCCAATCTGGGCAGCTTCCCACAAATTAAAACACAATATGTCTCAACACAATGAAACATTTATAATGTAGTTCCAACTTGGAGATCTGTAGTGCATCAAGGTAAATGGCAGTTCTTGGCTCCCAGTACAAGGGCAAGCTATGCTACAGCGGGTGGTTCCTAAGGTGGCTGGTGGCTATCAGGGGAGTTGTCTGGTCAATGTTGACCATTTGATGGAGTTCTGCATTAAGTATGTACAAGAAGGGCTTCTCTGTGAGGCCCATGAGATGGAAACTTGCTGGGTTGCCTTTTTGGCAAAGAATATTGAGGTGGCTGATACTATGGAGAATGGAGCGAGCTTGTTTTCTCCTGCTCTGGAAGCTAGGACCTGAACCAATGGATTCATTGGTTACAAGAAAGGAGATTCCAACTAAGCATCAGGAAGAACTTTCTGACAGTAAGAGCTGTTGGACAGTGGAACAGACTCCCATGAGAGGTGGTGGAATTTTTTAAGCAGAGGTTGAGCGGCCACTTGTCATATATGAACTAGCTGAGATCCCTGCATTGCAGAGAATTGGACTTGATGATTCTCAGGGTCACTTCCAATTCTATGAGGACTCCATAGTCCACATGATGTTACAGGGCTGAGCACAAGCGCATTTAGATCTCACCTCTTTATTCCTGGGTTCAGCCACAATGTTGTTCAGGAGCTATTTTTTCCCCTGGAATTAGAAGTGCTTTTAAGAGTCCAAGAACACGATAGCTGTTTTTCTCCCCTTTAAAGGACAAGAGATGATGACCATATTCTAGTCTGAAGAAGATAAAACATATTCATATCTGCCATTCATTCACTTGCAAACTCAGTCTGTCTGGTGGAGGATGTGTGAGGCTTCTAAACATTCCTGAGACTAGTCTAACTTTCACAGTACAATCACTTCTGGAGTCATGTATCTAAGTAACAAAATCTTGTTTTAATTCAGGTAGCTCCACTTTCCCATGAATCTCCACAGTTTTTTTTGGGGGGGGGAGGGAATGGTAAGCTTTGTACAGTTCCTGGTTCTCCTAAATAGGTATGCTTGAAGAAGTCAGTCTTTGTGATCTGATTCACTCCTCTTAGACCAGGGGTCAGTAAACTTTTTCAGCAGGGGGCCGGTTCACTGTCCCTCAGACCTTGTGGGAGGCCAGACTATTTTTTTTTGGGGGGGGGGGGGATGAACGAATTCCTATTCCCCACAAATAACCCAGAGATGCATTTAAAATAAAAGCACACATTCTACTCATGTCAAAACACCAGGCAGGCCCCACAAATAACCCAGAGGTGCATTTTAAATAAAAGGACACATTCTACTCATGTAAAAACACACTGATTCCTGGACCGTCCGTGGGCCGGATTTAGAAGGCAATTGGGTCAGATCCGGCCCCCAGGCCTTAGTTTGCCTACCCCTGTCTTAGACTAATGGGCAGCTCAGAATCTAGCAATTCCATAAACAATACGCTTTCCTAAAAGCTTCAACCCAGCTTCAGAGGTTAAAAATAGCAAACTCTGCTCTTAGGATGTATTTTGAGATAAAATACACATTTAAATAATGTTTGGTGCCTAATGAAATAATTCTTGCGAGGAATTTCTTCTTAACTACAGATTCATTTGTAATGGGAATAGAACTGAATTATGGGTAGAAATGTGTGAAAGGGAAACAGAGTGGAAACAGGTAACTGTAGCTGAAAGCGAGTCAGAAACAAAGTAAAAGAAACAAGCAAACAAACATAAATCCAGTGTCTTTGTGTAGGCT